CCCCAAAACCCCAAAACCCCATGTGCATTTTATTATTTTCAATTATGTTTTCAGTTTTGTTATTTTGAAATTAGAAACTAAATTAATTTTTTTTTATTAAAAATACCATTATATCATGAAATGTTTTCTTTATTTTTCTATTTCCCTACATACGTTTTCCTAAACTCTTTTACGTGTTAAATCACATTAATCTCATTTTATCTATCTTTTTAAAACTTTCTCTCAAAATCATCCATAAAACTTTCGACAAACGCCAGCAAATCCTTATAAAACTTTCTAACTTTATTTTTTTAGTCTTTATCAAACTTCATAAGTCTTATCTCGGTTTTCTATATATATGCTTTAAATATTGCCCCATCATTAGTATTATCTCTATTCAATGTCAAAATGAAAATAAAATTTACAGTTTATGCCAAAGCTTTAAGTTTTTAGAATAGACTTTTGAATTCCAAAGTTCCAAAAGCACAGTTCTTTTATGATCAAGAGCTGGATCAATATTTCCATACACGACCATATAGGGTTTGAGTAAGTTGAAAAGGATCTGGGAAGTTATTTCTAGACTCTTTGAATCAATGAATATAGCTCCAATTATGCTTTCAAAAATATCACCAAAAATCTTTAAACTAGACTCATGCAACTCATCTAAATCAATCACTCCTAATTTTTGCAACTCTCTCTAATCTACATTGATAGCATTATTAAGATATTATTGATTATTAATTTAGTGATTTCTCCCTTAATCATAATCTATTGGGTCTCTGGTTATGAAGTAACCTAAACGGTGTGAAATCTCAATCTTGTCTCTTTAACCATAAATATTATTCAAATAGAAATATCTAGCAATATCCATTGTTTATGCGTTATTGATTCTAATTTGTACTTCCTGTACGTACTTATCAAATTAATCTTTGAATTGCTTTGACTACTGGTTGTAGATGATACTATTATATATCCCTTTTTCGATAACAATCAAACTCAATAGCACATTATTAACAACCGATGTTTTATACTTATGAAGCTATTTAGGTTTATTATGATCAGGATCGAATTGAGTAGTTAAGAAATAGTATTGAGCTACTAAAAAGTTCAAAATAGAATCTCCAAAGAATTCTAATCTCTCATAGTCATGATAGGATCCTTAAACTTGACTTGAATGCTCCTTTGTCGATTTATGAGTAAGTGCTTATAAGACAAGATGCTTAGATTAGAAACTGTAACCAAGTAGCCCCTCTAATTGTGCAATTTATGAGGACAGTTCATCTGTAAGCTAAACTTCACCTAATCTAAGCTGATCTAGTTCTCTGTCATATTCTTCAACTTCATGTTCTAATAACTTTATCTCGCTCTTCAGGAAACTCTAGGTTGTGAATAAATTAGTTTTGAAAGTTAGAGCACCAGTGATCGATTCTACCACATCTGCCAGCTATTTAGGTTAATATAGCTTTTTCTCGCGATTGGGAATTTAGTCACTTTTGTATCTCTTTTTCATTTCATCATCCAATTTCCTGTAGCACTTCTTGATATTCTCATTAACAACGATTTCCTTAAGTTGAGGAATTTTCAGAGACAATTCGTTTATCCATCTTTAACCGATTCTAGTTAATAAGCATTCACTTGTTTAATAGCTCAGCATTTTTTCCTCTTCAATGATTTATATAGCTTTTGGGTGTTTTTCAACTAGATAAAGGTTAAGGTCTCTTTACGTTATAAAGAGTTTTGTCAGTTCAATATATTCTTCAGTAACGAAGTCATTAATACACTATTAGAAGTTCTTCTTCTTTTCTAGCTCAATGAAAAATGCCTGCTTCTTCAAATGAATAATTTTAGTGGTAAGTTCATTGAGGTGTTTTAACTTGATATTTTGCATATAGTCTTGAGTTTCAAATCCAACTGGAACGTAGTCATTATATATTTTAGCCTGCTCAGAGATCATGTACTAATATAGACCTATTCTCTCATTGATGTTAATGAAATTTCTATTAGATACTTTCTTGATTCTATTAAAATCAAGATCTCCTTCACTCCAAGATTTAGACCCACAAAGAAAAAGCTCTAAAATAACTAGGAAGCTTATCACACTATCACCATAAAATTCCAGTCTTTCATAATCTATAGGTCTATTTGCAGTTGGAGAACTTAATGCTTCAATTATACAGCTTGGATCATACAAGAAAAAGTCAGCAGCTGTTCTGAATGTATTAGAATCCGGTGGTTGCAAGGCAATTTAATGGATATTTAAAACAGGATGTTCTAGTTAAAGATTTATAAGTGGATCTCCATTGATGATTTTCACCTTTGAGTAGAATTTGATAATAAACTGTCTTACTATTTGCATCTCATTTATTTATGATAGATGAAAGCAAGTAGACTGAAGTACTTAGTATTGTTCATAGGTGAAAGGAGTTAGGCCTAGAAGTTGCAGTGGTACATCGAATTCAGTGTTGATAGAGGAGTGTTATTCTGGATATTTACTATTAGTCTTTTCCCCATCCTCTGGAGTCTTTTACTAAGAGTAATCCAGAAAATGTCTCATCTTACTGCACTTGAAGAAAATCTAATTCTCCTTTTTATCTAAATATATACCTGTCTTTGCAAAATAATGCTCCTATAGAGTTAAGTTTTCTCCATACATTGCCTTCAAAGTATTCTCATGAACGTTGGGATACTCTCTTTTATACTTATTTGGGAGAAGATGAATTTGCTTTTTATGCCAAAGTTTATCAGTTTATTTCTTCAGACTCATGATCTAATATAGATTATGGTTGCTCTCGCAAACTTAAATATACTCGAGGTTGTTGAACTTAGGTTATCTCATTACAATTTATGAATGAGAGATTTAATTTTCTAAACTATCCTCCATTTTCATTTCAATATCCTCATCTAAAATAGAATTATTGTGAATATTCTTAAACTAGTTTTCTTCTTTATAGAGCAAGAACTTTGAGTAAATATCATGCTCAAGACCTAAGTTTTAGATAGTCTTGTGTACTTGGTAATCAGAAAAAAAGAACTTTATCATCTCTACTTTTATATAAGATTCAAGCTAATCGATAAGTTTGAAATTTATCTCTTTCACACCATTCTAATCCTTGATAGGAATAATGTAAGTCTAAATATTAATTTTTTTTTAGTCGTGAATTTTTTTGGGATCAAATTACTCATTACCCCAGACTTATTCCTTATTCAACTCGTAAACATACTGCAAGAACCCTCTATTTTCTCTGAGAGTAATTCTTTTGTCTTTGATTATAAGTTGAAATACTGTCTAAAATAGATAGCTAAAGCTAAATTTTCCCATTATGAGTCTCTAAAAGAATTGGTGCTAGTTGTTGTAAATCATAAAAAAGATCCATGTGTGAAATAGATTAAGCTTATTTGAAAATTCCCAGAGTGAGCTGTAGGGGCCAAAGTCTTTGATTTCGAAGGAAGATTTGGTAAACTTAAGCTCATCTGACATTTAAATCTTTTGAAATAAAATGGCTTCGTCAAAATTTTTGAAATTCCAAAGATTTTCAAGATAAAACTTATTCTTTTGCTTTTGCTTGACGTCTTACTGAAGATTGTATTGGTATCTAATATCCTCCAAATCTTCATCTTAAATAATGCCAAGATGCTATTTTGTGTCAAGAAATGGATAATTGTTGTTATTATATTCATCATCAAGTCCGTGAATGACAATAGCGTATAGCTTCTTTTTAAAATGTTTTTCAATAGTAGACTAATTCTCATAATCCACGTCCATAGCGGATTCATTCACTTGCTCAGTATGATACTCTACTCTCTGATTGAAAGTCTTATTAATGAGGTCTTTCTTTACTTAAAAGCTAAATTTATTCCCTCTTTCCTTGGTTTGCTATTGAAATAACTTAGATTCTTCATTGAGAAGTTCTCTATCATGGAGATTCTATTCCTTCTTCGATGGCTATTTAGGAGCATTTGGATCCTATATAACCTGCACTTTAATTTTCGGTTCAGGTTAAATATTATTCAATTTTTTTATTATTGATGGATATTTTCTGATACTTTCCAAATTAGAGTACAAGTTCTGATCTAAGAATCCCAGTTCATAGAAATAGAACAAGGCTAGCAGATATACATGGTTTTCAGCCTCATTCTTCTTGCTGAATAGCTATGTATCTTTGATGTGACTAATCAGACATTTAAGGCTATGAGGCATTATTAGAGTGCTTGAGAATTATTGCTAATTTTTATTTCTCTTTTCGTCTGTAATGACAATGATATTAATTTTCAATCGGCTCATGTCAAATCTTAACTCTTAGTGCTGATTCACGCAATTAATGTAAGCCTAATTTTGATCTCTGAGATGGAATATCATGGACAAGTCAAATTATTTATCAGAGAGACCTTGGTTTAGCTCTTGCACTAACTACTTGACTAGACTAGGTGCATCTCTCATTGAGCATTTTGCCTAAAGAGGAGTTCTTAAAGAAGGTGGTTGATTCATTATTTTCTTTTCTATGATCTTCGAATCAGGGACAACACTTTCCTCTTGATCATAAGCTATCTCTTAAATAATCCTAATGGTTTAATTGAATCCTGATATTTCAGTGTTGTATTTGTCCTTTTCCTCATGAGCGCAAAGAAATATAAATTTTGAATTGGATTGTCTTGCTCTACCTTTAGTTTAAATGAATGATTTCACGCTTAGAATCTCATTTAAGCAAATAACCAAGTTACAACTAGAAACATCTAACCCTTCCTCAATCACACTGGTGGCAATTAGTACATTAATAACATCCTTTCTGAACTTCATAATAGTTTCATTGAGCTTTTGATTCGATAACTGTACAGGGGAAAACTTAGGTAATGAACAAATGTAATCTTCGATGTCATCATTCTTTGGCACCTTGGTCGATTTGTAAGCTTTGTTCATCATACTTTTACCCTAGTATCCAATAGCCAGTCCAAATTTGAATTTGGAATTGGATTGATAGTTTAATTATTGCTACTGTAATTCTTCATCATCAATGCTGAACCCATCATCTAAATTTAACGATTTATCATCTAGTACTCTACTAAGGTCACTCTAATTGTTCTACTAGTTATATCTAGACTCTAGTATCCTCTTTAAATATTCAGCTACTATTCTATCCTTCACGAAAATGATTGCCTTTAGATTTTAGTTTTATTCCTACTGCTTTCTACTCTCATACTCTTTTTCCAGAATCCTTATCAATTCATTAACCTTACCAGACAAATAGTAGTTTTCATTTAAGGATCTATCGACAGACAGCTCTATTGGATCGGTAAGATGCAATTGAAGATTATGAATGTACTACTAGAAAATCTATTCAATCTTCTATTTCTTAGAATCGATTTTTCCTTGTTATTAAATGATTTCTTTGTTTAAATCGTGAATAAAGAAGTTTACTCCATGCTGACCAAGCTCAATAATCAAGTTGTTAATATTTTTTAGAAGAGTAATGGCAAGAATTACTATAGTTCTATCCTAGTCATTGTTGAAGAAGCCCAAATCTATCTGTTTCTTCGATAAGTCAATATCAAGTTCTATCAGTTTAAGTCTGCCACTGATGAATTTTTCCATCTAAATATCCTAGGCATCGATGGACTGCTACAATAGATTTCGATTGCAGAGTTTCATAAGTTATTCAGACTGGCTACTCTTTTTCTCATTAAGATCAATCATTTTGTAAATTTCCAATTTAATTTAAACAAGGTCTAAGAGTGGTTTTATCAGTTCTTGCTCTATCCTACTTACAAAATCAATATTTTCAGATATCTTAGAGTCATATGTTTCCACATACACATAAGCCTGATTCTTCATTTAATTAAGATCATGCTACTCAATTGGGATAAATCTAGAGTAGAGATTATTTGACAGTGTCTAGAGATTCGTTTTAAGAGTGAACTTGTAGATATCATCAACCATTATTTTGGATTTGACTGGAGATGCTGTAAGTCCTAAGATTCTTGTTTTTATTCCAAATTCTTAAAGCTAACTATATTCAAGCAGTTAAAGATTAATAATTTTACGGGAAATAAAAATCCTGCATGATTAGATTGTACAAATGATCCTATTCACAATGATGTGCTTCGTCAAAAATTAGGAGATCAATATCCTTGAAACTGAGGACTCCGTGCAGCATGAGATCATAGAACTTTTTACTAATGCAGATGAAGATATCATGATTTTGAAACTACAGTAATCATTATATTATATTATCTATTACTTAGTTTCCCCATGCTTCTAAGGTATAGCTCTTTTAATTTTTTCCTCCTTAAATTTTACTAATTCTCTTATCAATATATTTGTCGATTACCTCAGCTAATAGTATTAGATATAAAATATTACCTTGTTGTTCAATTAAGTTTAATGTTGGTACTATGAAAAATACTTTTTACTCTCTTACATGTTAGGGATCAAATGCTTTCTTTATGATTTGTTTTTATCTCTTTTAAAGCATTTTCTCCTCACTTAGCAGATTTAATTCTAATGGAAACCCAAAAATATGTTGAATCATCTTAATTGCAATATAACTCTTGCCAGAACCAGTTTCAAGAAAAATAATGGACCCATAAGGTTCTTTATCCCAGTAGTATAGACACTTTTAACAAATTTTGTCTTGGTAAGGGAAACTCTTCATCTCGTAGAGTGACTACAAATCAGATTAGCTTTCAATTAGAGATTCATTCAGAGAATAGTGAGGAATATCTCTCATCTCGACATCATTGTCATTTCTGCCATTTTAATTGGTGAATGAAGTATATTAGCTCTGATACTATTTTTGCTAGTATTGCTATTGCGCTATTTAATGATTGGCATTAGAAATTTTAGATTCTTCAAGCATTTCATTGTTTTCTTAGTTCATCTCAGTGTCAGTATTGCAGTTATTACTTTCTGGGTTTTAAGGGTATAGGTAGTTCTGATAAGCTTGAATTTTCTTCTCTCTTTGTATTGTATCATCAATTTGCACATCTGAAAAGAGGTTTGAATTGTTAAATGATTCAATCTTGTCCCTTGATTCTGAAATCAATGATTACCTGTGTCTTATATCTATTCTGCTGATTTAATTGTTTTGAGATCTATTGATTTGCCTGCTATTGTGATTAGTAATTATATTTTGTATATTTAATCGTTCTTTGATCATCTCACCCAAATTATACTTCAAAGCCCTGCTAGATGGGTTATGTCTTGGTTCAGGCTTGTATTATGAAAACTATATCGTTTTTTTCTACTAATATTCCATAAGATCATTGACGAATGACTCATTTATCTCCGCATTTCTATCGAAATCTTTTAAATAGTTCATCTTAATTGCTTTCAATTAAAACTTTAATTATATTATTTCACAAACTCAAATTTCTTTTATATTCATCTTAATGGGGTTTTGGGGTTTTGGGGTTTTG